TTTTTGAGATGGAGTTTTGCTCTTTTTACCCAGGCTGGAGTGCAATGGCGCGATCTCGGCTCACCGCAACCTCCGCCTCCTGGGTTCGGGCAATTCTCCTGCCTCAGCCTCCTAAGTAGCTGGGATTACAGGCATGCGCCACCATGGCCAGCTAATTTTTTGTATTTTTAGTAGAGACGAGGTTTCACCATGTTGATCAGGATGGTCTCGATCTCTTGACCTCATGATCCACCCATCTTGGCCTCCCAAAGTGTTGGGATTACAGGAGTGAGCCACCGCGCCCGCCCAGAAAGGTGTTTTTTTTTTTTTAAAAAAAAAAAAAAACAACAGCGACAACTCTCTAAAGATAGCACGGTGCTTTGTGGCTTTCCAAACTGTAGAGGCCTATTATCCCCTCTTGATTTCTGGCCCAAATACTGGCACCTTAAATTTCTCCCAGTAGAGAGTCTCCCTAGAGAAACAGGCATAGTTCATCCTGACATAATACAAGACGGGAAATCCTGCTTCCATTTCTGGACTAGACACGGGTCCCAGGCTACACTCCAGGCAAATCTTACAGTTTCCTTCTGCACACAAAGACTGGATTTATATTTCCACATTTTACCTCACACTGATGGAAATTCCATTATTCTAGTTGCCAAGTCAAACACTTTGGAGTCACTTTTGACTCTTTTTCCTTCATACCTTCACAACTCTTAGGTGATTTATCTTCAAAATTTATCTGGAATTAGACTATTTAGCACTAATCTACTCCTACAAGACTCAGTATATACCTTCTCCTGTCGAGATTACAGCAACAGTCTTCTGTTTTCTTCCTTTCTCCTTTTGCCCATCTTCCCTGCACCCCAGCCTGTTTGCAGCACAATAGCCATAATAATTCCCTTAAATAGAAGTTAGATCATGACAATCCTCTGATCAAACGTTCCAGTGACTTTTTCCTATTACTAAAAGTAAAAGCCAAAGTCCTTGCAATGGCCTTCAAACACATACAGGAACCCGACTCATGGTATTTCACCCCTTATTCCTTTGACTCAATTTCTTAATACTCTTCCTTTAAATTATTATGCCCTAGACATACTGACCTTCTCTCACATCTTCAAACAGGCTAGGCATGCCCCTGCCTCTGGGTCCTTGTAATTGCTGTGTCTTCTACCTGGAATGCTCTACCTACAAGATTTATACAGGACAGTTCTCCAAAAGGCCTTGGACTGACCAGGTTTTCATCCCTTTCTTGCGTGTAGCTCTCAACAGCAACTGTATGCTGGTCTGGTAATGTAACTTACTGGTAAAGAGAGACTGGCTAGAAGAACACGGGCTATGTTTCAGTCTCACCAGAACAGAATGTTCTTCAATGCTTTAGCACAGTAAGTCATGTGACCCCAGGATATAACGCCCAGGGCAGGCTGCTTTCCAGGGTCCGTTATCTGCTATCCAAGTAGGTTACATGAATTTGAGACTCCATCTACCCTAGGCAACTTTCTAAGACTTGGGGGAGCAGCTTGCAATGAATCCTAGGCATCTGATGTTTCTTACTGCCTATCTGTAAGTAATAAATCCATTTCACATAACTTGCATATGAGTATGTTCTGTCATATAAGTTGGTAACCAGTGCATAGTGAGCTTGCTTCAGAAGTGCAGAGCATGTTTCCTTCCCAATTAATGTCTTTACTCATGTATAATTCTCTCTGTGAGACCTTCTCTGAATATCCTGTCTAAATTTCATTTCTACCTCCCCCACACCAACACTCCCTATCTTCTTTCCTGACATTATGTTCCCTTTACCAACACTTAACCTATATTGGATATTTTATAGATTTATCTTGTTTATTTTTACTATCTTGCTTATTGTCTGTCTCAATCACTCACTAAAATATTAAGTGCCATAGAAACAGGGATGTTTTCTTTTTTATTTTCTACTCCATGCCTAGAACAATGTCTGGCACACAGTGGGTCAACAATAAATATTTGGTGAATGAATTAACAAATTGTCTTCTCTAAGCTACTCTTCTTTTTTTTTTTTCTCCCTAATCCTATACTAATACTAGTCCTAACCATTTTCTTTCTCTTACTTTTATTTTGGTTCAGGGGTACATAAGCACGTTTGTTACGTGGGTAAATTGTGTTCCTGAGGATTCGTGTATAAATGATCCTGTCACCAAGATAGTAACCATAGTACCTGATAGGTAGCCTTCCAAACCATAGTTCCCTCCCATCCTTCCTCTTCAAGCAGTCTTCAGTATCTGTTGTTTCCATATATACGTCCATGTGTATTCAGTGTTTAGCTCCCACTTATAAACAACAACATGTGGTAATTGGCTTTCTGTTCCTGCATTAGTTCACTGAGGATAATGGTTTTGAGCTTGATCCACGTTGCAGCAAAGGACATGATTTTATTCTTTTTTATGGCTGTGTAGTATTTCATAATGTATATGTACCACATTTTCTTTATCCAGTCCACCACTGATGGTTATCTTGATTGATTCCATGTATTTGTTATTGTGAACAGCACTGTGATGTACTTATAAGGGCATATGTCTTTTTTATAGAATGAGTGCTTTTCCTTTGGCCATGCACTCAGTAGTGGGAATCATGTCTGTTCATATTATTGGCCCATTTTTAATGGGGTTGTCTTTTGCTTGCTGATTTGTTCAAGTTCTTTACACATTCTGGATATTAGACTTTTGTTAGATACATAGTTTACAAATATCTTCCCCAATTCTGTAGGTTATGTGTTTACCCTGCTGATAGTTTCCTTTGCTGTGCAAAAGCCCTTTGTTTAATTAGATCCTATGTGTCAATTTTTCTTTTTGTTGCAGTTGCTTTGGGAAATTTAGTCATAAATTCTTTGCTAAGGCTAATGTTCAGAATGGTATTTCTTAGGATTTATTCTAGGGTTTATAGTATTAGGTCTTACATTTAAGTCTTTAA